TTACGGGGAGGTTGAAGCAGTCGGTTGATGGTGGAGAGATGTTCTCTGAAGGTATATTATTGCAGTAATGTACAGATTAGCCATTTGTCAGTATTTTAGCGAACACGCGAGTGAATGGACCTTCTGCCTTGCGGTGTAAAGCACAGCTGCAGAGTGAGAATGACAACAAGTGACCAACTATGTTTAAACAGTCAAGAGTTTGCAAATGACAAATGTATTTACTGAGGAGAGTGGTTCTGTATTACCCCAGAGTGGAGTGACATGGGCACTGTGTGTGTGAAGTATCAGAGTCTGGCTGAAACAAGTAAACAGTACCTTTTTCTGCCTGAATGAGAACACGTTCAGTTTTAATAATAATAATCAAATGACCATATATTACACATTGTTTTAAATGTGGCATGAGTCAGATCTGAGAGAAGTGTTGCCAAGACAAACCTGCCTTCTTTGTTTCACACTGGCCTTTCATTGTATCAGTCGTTGCTACATAGAAATCTGACTTAATGTGCATGAACAGATGGTGTTGTAAAATGACTCAGCATTTGGATATTTTACTGTACAGTTTAAAAACCTTAATGGAAAAAATAAAATACTATTAATGCATGAGATTTAAATTACTTTAAACGAGTGGGTGAGGCTATTAATCATGAGGAAAAAAATGCCAATTTTTTCACTCCAGTCAATCTGTGGAATTCAGTCAGTTTTATTACTGACCTTCATCACAAGCTGTTGTGGAATTCAGTCAAACATATCCTGTTTTTGGTGCAACCACTTTGTTTTGATGAGTTGATCTGCATGAAGCTAACATGGAATTTAAATGTTGAAATGTGTCATTTTGATATGGTTTAAAATACACTGTGGATCGTTAATTTAATGGCTCCTATTTACTCTAAGCAGTATTACTTACCGTAGTTTAAAAAAATTATATATTATATATTATTTATAATATAGAAAATCATGGTCTAAGATTTAGCATTTATTAAGATACTCACTTTTTTGTTCATGTTCAACAACAACTAACAAACTATGAGTTTAAACAAGAAGAGGAATGCAATCCGCAGCAATGTCCACCTTATAGAGCCTAAAAGCCAGGCAGCATTCACAGGAGTGATGTGAAAGCATTTGGAAATATTGCTATGA